ATGAACCAACATTGGCCAATTTAGAACCTGACCAGGAAGATGTTCAGTGGGAGGAATTCCTACCAAACATCCTTCCATTATTCATCCTATCTGAACAACCAAACAGCGAATGTTCAGTCTGAACGTTCAGTTCATCCCGAGTCAGGATCAGATGGGATTTCTGGATGAGTGAGGCAATTCCTCATTGTTCTTTACCTGCAGCTAATATTGAATAACGTCCATGTCCTTGGAAGTCCTCAGATTATATCAATATAATAAATATTTAATTGTGGACAGAAGTCTTATCTTGTTCCCAATAACTGGTGCCAGTGCTGCTAATGTGGGCAGATAAGGAGCCTGTGGAAGATCACCTTCAGGAGGATTTGCCGGGACGTATCCACTGATTTCTACACAATGAATCCATCAGATCTATTACTCTGCCCTGTTATATTATCCTCCTGAAGATCTCATCTACGTTGTCACCTACAGAAGGCCAGAAACTATAGAATTGTGTACCAAGATCTGGGGCAACAAGTGCCAGTAGGCCTGCTCACCTCAAAGTATAATTGAAGGCAAAACCTTTATTTTTAGTGTCGGATAGAGTGAAGGATTAGAACCTCTGTCAGGTTTTTTATTGCTGTCTGCACTCCCCATTAGGGACATTGACTTTCTCCATTTGTCCTGTTTACCATTATCATCAAGAGTGAAAGAAAATCCCAAATTTTGGGTTGTCACCAGTATAGGAATAGATGAGAAATCTTCCAATGGGGACACTAGAACAACCAGGAATTCCCTCAATTTGGAGAGATGTACTTTGAGGAAGGGAAATCCCCCCAATGACAGGAATTGTAACCAATCCTCTCTTATGCAGGCCATAGACGGGTCAAAAATCAGCCAATTTTCACACCGTTAGTGGGTTAATTGGTCGGCCGTTTTTCGGGATTTTGGAACATTTTCTTTATCTGTGAAGTTGGAAAAAAATCGGCCGATTTCGCTGATCGGCCGATTTTCCCGGCAATGATGGGCAAATCGGCCGATCTTTTTACCGATGAAAAAATCTGCGCATGAGCCGTGACCTGCAAGAAGAAGAAAAAGAAGCAGAATTCCAGTCCGCTATTATATTTGACATGAAAAAGTATTGCAGTTGCAACAATGTATCTATTTGTATCCGAATAAAAACATCTGTATCCAAAATGGATACAAATAGATGCATTGTTGCAACTGCAATACTTTTTCATGTCAAATATAATAGCGGACTCTCTGCAGGGACAGAAGTAATTAAATGCCGGCTGTAGACGGGACGAAAATCGGCAGATTTGTCTTACCGTTGGTGGTAACGTCGGCCGATTGAACGACCGATTTTTCTTCTTTTTTTTTTTTTTAAAAAACGGCAGGTTTTTTTCGACCCGTCTATGGCCTGCATTACTCTATACAAACTTTAAAAAAAGTTTTGTCTATAGTTTTAGTTTAGGTGAACAGAGGCATAGTTATAGTTTCTGACTGGGGCTTTGGGGCAAGTTCATATTCCTGTGTATTCTGCCCCTGAAGAAGACAGCAAAAAGATTTTTCCTCAGGCAGTACCACTTCCAGGGGAGGGAGCATCACATTTTACTGCTCTACCAGTAAAGAACCCCTTCCTCAATATAAGGTTGAACTTCCTTTCTTCTAAACTCAAATTGTGGCCCGTGTGCTCATCAGGACCTAGCTGAGCTCCTCCATCCCTCATAGCTGAGCTCCTCCATACCCCATAGCTGAGCTCCTCCATCCCCCATAGCTGAGCTCCTCCATACCCCATAGCTGAGCTCCTCCATCCCCCATAGCTGAGCTCCTCCATACCCCATAGCTGAGCTCCTGCATCCCCCATAGCTGAATTCCTTCATCTCCCATAACTGAGCTCCTCCATTCCCCATAACTGAGCTCCTCCATCTGCCATAACTGAGTTCCTATATCCCCTATAACTGAGGTCCTCCATCCCCATAACTGAACTCCTCCATCCCCCATAGCTGAGCTCCTCTATCCCCCATAACTGAGCTCCTCCATCTACCATAGCTGTGTTCCTATATCCCCCATAACTGAGCTCCTCTATCCCCCATAACTGAGCGCCTCCCATCCCCTCCATAGCTGAGCTCCTCTATCCCCCATAACTGAGCTCCTGTATCCCCCATAACTGAGCTCCTCCATCCCCCATAGCTGAGCTCCTCCATCCCTCATAACTGAGCTCCTCCATCCCCCATAACTGAGCTCCTCCATCCCCCTTAACTGAGCTCCTCCATCCCCCCCATAACTGAGCTCCTCCATCCCCCATAACTGAGCTCCTCTATCCCCTATAGCTGAGCTCCTCTATCCCCCATAACTGAGCTCCTCCATCCCCTATAACTGAGCTCCTCCATCCCCTATAGCTGAGCTCCTCTATCCCCCATAACTGAGCTCCTCTATCCCCCATAACTGAGCTCCTCTATCCCCCATAACTGAGCTCCTCCATCCCCTATAGCTGAGCTCCTCCATCCCTCATAACTGAGCTCCTCCATCCCCCCCATAACTGTGTTCCTTCATCCCCCATAACTGATCTCCTCCATCCCCCATAACTGAGCTCCTCTATCCCCCATAACTGAGCTCCTCCATCCCCTATAACTGAGCTCCTCTATCCCCTATAGCTGAGCTCCTCCATCCCCCATAACTGAGCTCCTCTATCCCCCATAACTGAGCTCCTCTATCCCCCCCTTAACTGAGCTCCTCCATCCCCCATAACTGAGCTCCTCTATCCCCCATAACTGAGCTCCTCCATCCCCCATAACTGAGCTCCTCCATCCCCTATAGCTGAGCTCCTCTATCCCCTATAGCTGAGCTCCTCTATCCCCCATAACTGAGCTCCTCTATCCCCCATAACTGAGCTCCTCCATCCCCCATAACTGAGCTCCTCCATCCCCCATAACTGAGCTCCTCTATCCCCCATAACTGAGCTCCTCCATCCCCTATAGCTGAGCTCCTCCATCCCCTATATGTGGGGTTCTCCATCTATCCTCCAAAGATCCACCCCCATAGGCTGCACTGACTTCAATAGCAGATTCAATGTTGAGCTTGTCCCCCCCCCCCCACATGAATCAAACCCTGGTGGATTCATCATCCCTAATAATGGGGTATTGTCCAAGTGTTGAAGATCTTTGTATCATGTGATAATCACCCCCCATCCCCCTACACACAATTATTATCACATCACAGATCAATCTCGATCAATTTTGTTTTATCGTTATTGGAATTAGAAGGATCATTACAAACATTTTCAGGTAAGAGCAGAGAAAGGGTGAGTCTATGTACCCAGCGTACAGCAAACAAGAACATTTATAACCTGCAGCCAAGGTCGTCACCCACCTCATTCTTCCATCTCACACACCAGACACCATGAGATTACTTCTACTTCTTCTAACTGCCGCTCTGTCTCAGGCTGTGGTCAGGTAAGTACTACAAGTTCCAGAACCTGTTCTGATTATCAGCTCTCTAGTCTTTAGAATGCATTCATCAAATCATTATTAGAATTGTATTTATAGGCTCACACTGGAACATTGGATCAGAACACGCTTCTCAATATATACAGGCTTTCTATATCAATATGATGTGTACAGCAGGATTATACAGAGGAGCTGGCACTCCCAAACCCCCAACACACTATTATTATACATTATATAGCTCTGACATATACCGCAGCGCTGTACAGAGATCACTGAGACAGTCACATCAGTCTCTGTACCAGAGGAGCTTACGCTCTAATGTCCCCTCCCCCACAGTCACATCAGTCTCTGTACCAGAGGAGCTGACGCTCTAATGTCCCCTCCCCCACAGTCACATCAGTCTCTGTACCAGAGGAGCTGACACTCTAATGTCCCCTCCCCCACAGTCACATCAGTCTCTGTACCAGAGGAGCTTACACTCTAATGTCCCCTCCCCCACAGTCACATCAGTCTCTGTACCAGAGGAGCTTACGCTCTAATGTCCCCTCCCCCACAGTCACATCAGTCTCTGTACCAGAGGAGCTGACGCTCTAATGTCCCCTCCCCCACAGTCACATCAGTCTCTGTACCAGAGGAGCTTACGCTCTAATGTCCCCTCCCCCACAGTCACATCAGTCTCTGTACCAGAGGAGCTTACACTCTAATGTCCCCTCCCCCACAGTCCCATCAGTCTCTGTACCAGAGGAGCTTACGCTCTAATGTCCCCTCCCCCACAGTCACATCAGTCTCTGTACCAGAGGAGCTTACGCTCTAATGTCCCCTCCCCCACAGTCCCATCAGTCTCTGTGCCAGAGGAGCTTACGCTCTAAGGTCCCCTCCCCCACAGTCCCATCAGTCTCTGTACCAGAGGAGCTTACACTCTAATGTCCCCTCCCCCACAGTCCCATCAGTCTCTGTAGCAGAGGAGCTTACACTCTAATGTCCCCTCCCCCACAGTCACATCAGTCTCTGTGCCAGAGGAGCTTACACTCTAATGTCCCCTCCCCCACAGTCCCATCAGTCTCTGTGCCAGAGGAGCTTACACTCTAATGTCCCCTCCCCCACAGTCACATCAGTCTCTGTACCAGAGGAGCTGACACTCTAATGTCCCCTCCCCCACAGTCACATCAGTCTCTGTACCAGAGGAGCTTACGCTCTAATGTCCCCTCCCCCACAGTCCCATCAGTCTCTGTGCCAGAGGAGCTTACGCTCTAAAGTCCCCTCCCCCACAGTCCCATCAGTCTCTGTACCAGAGGAGCTTACACTCTAATGTCCCCTCCCCCACAGTCCCATCAGTCTCTGTAGCAGAGGAGCTTACACTCTAATGTCCCCTCCCCCACAGTCCCATCAGTCTCTGTGCCAGAGGAGCTTACACTCTAATGTCCCCTCCCCCACAGTCCCATCAGTCTCTGTGCCAGAGGAGCTTACACTCTAATGTTGGCATTGTAAAGACCATTAACACAATAATATCTGGTTCTCTCTGCTTTCTCTTGAAGTGGATCTCCTTCTCTCCATTTCAGGGTCCCTCTGACCAGAATGAAATCCATCAGGAGGACATTGCAGGAACATGGACTTCTCCAATATTTCGCAGCCAGGGAGCCTTTGGTGAACTATATGGATGTGAGTGGTGGGTTTACCTTTTGTGTCCATCCATTTGGAACTAATAACAGGTTTCCTGGAGGACAATGAGGAACCTGACAACCCATTCTCCATTATTCGCATATTTACAGCAGTGGTTCTCAACCTTTCTAATGCCGCGACCCCTTAATACAGTTCCTCATGTTGTGGTGACCCCCAATCATAAAATTATTTTCGTTGCTACTTCATAACTGTAATTTTGCAGTGGGAGGAGTAGTGCCCCATCATTGGTGTCAGTGGAAGGAGTAGTGCCCCATCATTGATGTCAGTGGGAGGAGTAGTGCCCCATCATTGGTGGTGGAAGGAGTAGTGCCCCATCATTGGTATCAGTGGGAGGAATAGTGCCCCATCATCGGTGGTGGGAGGAATATGCATCATTGTGTGGGAGGAATAGTGCCCCATCATCGGTGTCAGTGGGAGGAATAGTGCCACATCATTGGTGTCAGTGGAAGGAGTAGTGCCCCATCACTGATGTCAGTGGGAGGAATAGTGCCCCATCACTGATGTCAGTGGGATGAATAGTGCCCCATCATTGGTATCAGTGGGGGGAATAGTGCCCCATCATTGGTGTCAGTGGGAGGAATAGTGCCCCATCATTGGTGTCAGTGGGAGGAATAGTGTCCCATCATTGGTGTCAGTGGGAGGAATAGTGCCCCATCATTGGTATCAGTGGGGGGAATAGTGCCCCATCATTGGTGTCAGTGGGAGGAATAGTGCCCCATCGTTGGTATCAGTGGGAGGAATAGTGCCCCATCACTGATGTCAGTGGGATGCATAGTGCCCCATCGTTGGTATCAGTGGGAGGAATAGTGCCCCATCACTGGTGTCAGTGGGAGGAATAGTGCCCCATCACTGGTGTCAGTGGGAGGAATAGTGCCCCATCACTGGTGTCAGTGGGAGGAATAGTGCCCCATCGTTGGTGTCAGTGGGAGGAATAGTGCCCCATCGTTGGTGTCAGTGGGAGGAATAGTGCCCATCGTTGGTGTCAGTGGGAGGAATAGTGCCCCATCGTGGGTGTCAGTGGGAGGAATAGTGCCCCATCGTTGGTGTCAGTGGGAGGAATAGTGCCCCATCATTGATGTCAGTGGGAGGAATAGTGCCACATCATTGGTGTCAGTGGGAGGAATAGTGCCCCATCATTGGTGTCAGTGGGAGGAATAGTGCCCCATCATTGATGTCAGTGTGGTGGAGGGGAGAATAGTGCCCCATCATTGGGGTCGGGGGAGGGGGAAATAGTGTCCCATCGTTGGTGTCAGTGGGGGGATGAATAGTGCCCCATCATTGGTGTCAGTGGGAGGAATAGTGCCCCATCATTGATGTCAGTGTGGTGGAGGGGAGAATAGTGCCCCATCATTGGGGTCAGGGGGGGGAAATAGTGCCCCATCGTTGGTGTCAGTGGGGGGAGGAATAGTGCCCCATCGTTGGTGTCAGTGGGGGGAGGAATAGTGCCCCATCGTTGGTGTCAGTGGGGGGAGGAATAGTGCCCCATCGTTGGTGTCAGTGGGGGGAGGAATAGTGCCCCATTGTTGGTGTCAGTGGGGGGAAAGGAATAGTGCCCCATCGTTGGTGTCAGTGGGGGGAGGAATAGTGCCCCATCGTTGGTGTCAGTGGGGGGAGGAATAGTGCCCCATCGTTGGTATTAGTGACACAAATGATGGGGCACTATTCCTCCACTGACACCAATGATACTTACCTTGCTGACCCCTGCTCCAGCCTGGGCTCGCTCTCTCACTTACCTGTCAGCTGTCTTCCTTCTCTGGCCGCTCTCCTCTTCACTCGCTCCGGCAGCTCCCTCGATCTTCTTAGATCTCCGCGCGCTGCCGCTCGGCTCCTCCTCTCCAAGCTCCACCTCCTCGCCGGTGATTGGCCGCCTGGGTGCCTCTCCTGAGCTACAGTTCCGGTGGCCAATCAGCGGCGAGGAGGCGGAGCTGCTGAGCGATCCCGGAGGTGTGGCCAGGTGACAGGAGCAGCGTATCATCCCGCCCACACATCGCCTGAGACGGAGGAGCGGCGTCTCGGTTCCTAAGACCATCGGAAATATGTGTTTTCCGATGGTCTTAGGCGACCCCTGGGAAATGGTCGTTCGACCCCCAGGTTGAGAACCGCTGATTTACAGGATAACAGACATGAAAATAATCCAATGTTTGACTCATGATATTCTTTGTATCATTCTCTCTTTTTCTCTGATCAACAGAATGAATACTTTGGCACCATTTCCATTGGAACTCCACCCCAAGACTTCTCGGTTGTGTTTGACACGGGATCTGCCAATCTGTGGGTGCCCTCTGTCTCCTGCTCCAGTGCAGCTTGCAGTAAGTCTGTCTGGTGACACCAGATATGGAAATGTAGGTGGGGGGTTCCTTTATCTTCTGGGGACATTTGCTGGTTTCTTCTTCTGCTTGCCATGCCAGTCAGTCTGTGATGTGTATAAACTATATGTAGTGCACCCCCGTAGGTGAATACAGTCCTATTTCCTCCACTTAGTGCAAACACAGCCAGGTACACAGCATCTTCATTCTTCTACTGGCTCAAAAATAGTCTAGGCATTCTTTTAGGATTTATATTGAGAACAATGAACTGGAATAGGGAGAGGATGGGATACCCCCCAAAACACTGTAGACCTGGACAACTAGAGGACTCCTAAGCTGAACAGTACACAAAAGAGTGAAAGTCCCTCAGGATCCCTATGTTGATAGTGACTAGTAGTTCATCCAGACTCTAAAAGCTACACACAGTTACTGACTCCTTAGCAATGGGGTTGCTTATCCACTCAGCCACAGGATCATTAGTTGTCACCTGCAGATATCCTCCAGGCTCTTCCTAGTGAGGGAGATGTAGACTCACACCACCTAAGGACAGCTGAACTCCTTCCCACCAACCTCCTCCTGGCTCTCTCTAAGTCCCAACTTGATCCCTGGACATAAGCTTCCAAATAGCCACCTCAGCTAAACCTACCTCAGTGTTTTCCGGACAGATCCTTCCAGACATTTTCCCCAGGGCAGAGCCCCTACAAAGAAGTCTCCTTCTGCAGGACTGGACCCTGGAACTCTGCTCTTCTGCCCCAGGCCTCAGTCTATTTATGAGCTTTTCCGCCACCTTCTGGGCACCCCCCCCAGAGATTGGCTGGAGACCCATAAATATTCAGGCTGCCTCCTCTGTCCTTCTCCCACTATAATTCTAGAATCCTATAGAATACAGGGGAAGCAATCAAGAGCATCAGCCTTGAGACACTGAGCAGACCAAAGCAATCCACTGATTAAAGAGGAGCTGAACTACAGTTACCTAGCAGCCTACTCTACTTTAGGAGGGAGCTACATATATATTTCTAAAAGTTTCAGTTCGCTAAACTAAAGCCATTGTTCTTTTTTAAAAATAAGTCATTTGTTATGGTAAGTGACCCGTCATACTGCAATAAATTGCGCTGATGACAAGCTGTGTATATAAATGTTTTGTCTTTTTCCCTCCAGCAAATCATCATAGGTTTAATCCTCACATTTCCTCCAGCTTTCAACCTTCCAGTCAGACAGTCTCCATCTCCTATGGCACAGGCAGTATAAGTGGTGATCTGGCATACGACACGGTGCAGGTAGGAGCATCTAAATGTAACACTTTATGGGTTATGAGCGCTGAACCTTCACAATGATATAAAGCAATAGGGGCAAAGGTCCTCTTTGGGATCCTTCTTCTTCCATGCTTTGACCATTTTGGTCTCCAGGCTTCCTGCCGTGTGTGCTAGATGAAGCATCATCAGTAGATGATTATCTGCAGGTAGAGATTTTCATGGCAAAGTCTGTTGTATTAATAGAGTGAGTATTATTGTTGGTATCAGTACCAGGAACCCCTCTGTGTGTTGGTGGGGTCTTGAGCATACAAGGAGGATGGTGTGTGGGGTCTAGTACCCTTTCTCTGGGCACATTGAAGACTATAAGAGATATTTAGAGAAGTCTCTTTTTTCCTTTTTCCTGTAGCAGACAATGCCCTATGGCAATGGCTCTCTCATTATAATTCTGGAAACTGATAACAGCATTTTAAACAGTTTATCCTAACCCTTCAGCCCTCTGTGAGATACAGACACCACGTTCTTCTGCCTCTTGTGAAGCATGTGGACAGGACAGCACCATTATTGTTCAGTATTCAGGTGTAGTGAATGTTGCAAGGTCAGCCTTAGGGGGTTACGTGAAGTCTGGTTGTGTGGCCAGTTCTAGGTGGACCATTTCATGATGGTTGTTTGTCCCTCTGACCAGGGTATTATTTATACACAGTCATCTGCTGTGAGTGTTCCAGATTCTGTGTTTTACCATTTCTGACATATCACATCTAACACTTTCTCTCCTCTACAAGGTGGCAAATATTGCAGTTCAGAAACAAGCTCTGGTTCTAACTGAGACAGAGTCCATTTTCCTCTTCTACTCCCACTTTGATGGAATCTTGGGGTTGGGGTATCCCAGTCTTTCAGTGTCTGGGACACCTCCTGTGTTCGATAACATGTGGAGTGAAGAATTAATTCCAGAAGATATCTTCTCTGTTTATCTCAGCAGGTAAGTGCAAGGGTCACAGTCTGTTCTTCAAAACCAAAAAGGACTTTTGGGCAATGAATTTTTTTAGTGGGTGAAACTCACCCATTAGATGTTTAAAGTAATCACATGGCCTTTGATGAACCAAAATCTGAATCTGTTCCAAGTATTGTGTTAGCCTGACTGGCAAAATCAACATGGAGATGGTGGTAGTTCTGGTCAGAGTTCAGATTGTGGTGGTTTATGTAAGGATATATATTATTTATAAAGGGCGTGTCCCTTTCCCTTAGATGAAATATTACAGTGCCTCCAGCCGTTAAAATACGGCAAATATTTAGTAAACCAATAATTTGGACACCTTGATAATTTGATCACCACTTATTATTATACCTTGAATTCTTTTAGCCAATATGATTTCGTACCATACACACAAAATTTGCCTTATAATAGATAAATATAAAAATTTATTTATGTACAAAAATTATATATATATTAACACAAAACGCAAAAGACTGGTGATAAATGAATATTGGTACACACAATCAAAAATATATCCTACCAATGTAAGACACAATAATAAGGTTTCTAACTAATTACATCAATATCACAATTTTTAAATGATCTGATTATTTATTAAATTTATTAATAATTAATAATTTCGAGTATCTCAAAGGTTATATTCTCACAAGCCGTGGCCATAGGATTGCAAGAAGCTAGCCCTTGATATATTATACTCTGATTATTAATATTCAATAAATTATGAAATATGGAAAAAAAAAAATTATAATATGGCAACAAACAATTTTTAACAGTAAAACAGGATCTCTCTACATATATCTAACTACCCAATATTGTTGTGATACACTAAGGTAATTTTATGATTCCACACAACAGAGAAAATAGGTGATACAAAATCAAATAAACAATCTCACCGCACCCGGCATTCAGACTAGGCAACTCTCCCGTGGATTTAGCTGGCAGTGGAACGCCTTTAGAAATGATATTATAGGGCAAGTGATAGATATTTAGTATGGGAATGTAGGAAGTTATAAGGATAGAGGTTTAGAAATTTAGTAAAGTTTTAGGAAGTTTGAAAGTATGGAAGAGTAGTTATTCAGAATCAGGTCTTTCTTCAGTCAGGTTTTCTTTTGCTGAGGTCTTTTCTTTTGATGAGTTTTTTCTTGATGAGGTTTTTTTTTTTTTAAAGGTACAAGGGCTTTTATACCAACTAATCCATTGTTCTAAGATACCTTCCCACCAGGCTTCTTGATTGGCTAGTTGAGAAATGTGTGTACATAAGCTATTTCTCACCTGCCCGCCAGGTGGCGGTCATGTATCATAGAACAATTTGAGTATTTGAGATGACTCATACCTCGGGTGGAATCTTAAGGTTATTTCAGGGATCAAATATACGTCTTTTTCCAGATATAAGTGATCATACCTATAATATTCTAAATAGGGACCATGGAATATAGGTGTATATTCAGTTATTCCTTCTTGAAATACCATCCTGTTTGTTTCCTGATAAGACATGTAACTAATGCTAGTTTATAATACATCTTACTTCCCATCATCTCAATACTCAAGTTAGTGATATATAGTTCCCATTGCTGAATATTTAGTGGTGTGTAAAATCTATAACATCTCATTTATAATATGTTTTTGTAGTATATCTTTGTAATTATATACAGTCAATTTTTAGACTTAAATGTCCTGAATTTCACTTCTTTGTTTTAGAACCAACATTTTCTATGTGTAGGGAAAAACTCTCTGTTTGCCTGGCTCTTGTATTGGAATCATGGTAAACAACTGTTAATGCTTTCACCCTTGGTGGACAATAGTATATTGTGATAGTTTCAGAGGTCTGTTGGTTCATCACACTTGGAAAAGTCTCACTTCCCCCATTCTATCCATTTCTTAACTAGAATCCTTGAGGGTTCAACCAAGACAAAATTAACTCTTAGCATCCGGCTATACTGAGCTGCTTGTCATATAATGTTATGTCTTGATAAAGTCATGTTTTTGAGACATAAATTCAAAAGGCCCACAACAAGATGGCTCTGTGGTTCTGTTCAAAAAGGAGATGGTGGTGGTGGTTCTGGTTAGCATCAAGATAGTGGTGGTGATTCTGGTCAGTGTGGAGATATTGGTTCTGGTTACCATTGCATTGATGATTTTGGTGGATCTAATTATCATGCAAAGCTCCATTAAAGTGACTTCAGTAGAGTACATGCCAAAAGAGAGACTATAGGCCAATGTTCCCTCAGGTATGTAAGAGGAGAAAGGACTTCTGGGTCCTCTCTCTTAAGTTGTCTTTTCTTCACCCCTCTTCTCCACTTAATTGGACAACTATGGGGCCAATCAGTTTAATATTGACAAATGTAAGGTTCTGCACTTGGGCTAAGAATATGCATGCATCATACATACTGGGGGGGGGGGGGTAAACTGGGGGGGGGGGGGCTCAAGGGTGGAGAAGGATCTGGGGATCTGGTAGATCACAAGCTTAATAATGGCATGCAATGCCAAGCTGCGGTTCTAAAAGCGAGCAAAATCCTCTCTTGTATACGGCGAGGTATAGACTCCAGAGGGAGAGATACACCCCCCCCCCCCAGTACAAATCATTAGTAAGACCTCATCTGGAATATGCAGTTAAGGTTTGGACTCCAATTCACAAAAAAGAACATTGGGGAACTGGAGAAAGACCTACAGAGAAGGCTATGAGGAAAGAAACTGATACGAAGAGCATGGAGGGGGGATATCATGCTATTGAATACAAAAGGGGTGTGAAATGATCTTCCCATTATAATTACATAAGAGGAACTGATAATACATAAGGGGGGATATGATCTCCCATGTATAATACATAAGGAGGGGATATGATCTCCAATGTATATATACATAAGGGGGGGGATATTAATGTATAATACATAATGGGGGTATATGATCTCCATGTATAATAACATAAGGGGGGATATGATCTCCATGTATAATACATAAGGGGGATATGATCTCCATGGATATAATACATAATGTATAATACTTAAGGGGGGGGGGATATGATCTCCATGTTACTAATACATAAGGGGGATATGATCTCCATGTATAATACATAATGGGGGTGATATGATCTCCATGTATAATACATAAGGGGGATATGATCACCATGATTATAATACATAAGGGGGATTATGATCTCCATGTATAATACATAAGGGGGATATGAATCTCCATGTATAATACATAAGGGGGGATATGATCTCCATGTATAATACATAAGGGGGTATGATCTCCATGTATAATACATAAGGGGGGGTATGATCTCCATGTATAATACATAAGGGGGATATGATCATCCTATGTATATAATACATAAGGGATATGATCTCCATGTATAATACATAAGGGGGATATGATTCTCCAATGTATAACATACATATTAGGGGGGATATGATCTCCATGTATAATACATAAGGGGGATATGATCTCCATGTATAATACATAAGGGGGATATGATCTCCATGTATAATACAATAAGGTGGATCTGATCTCTCCATGAATAGATACATAAGGGATGGATTATGATCTCCATGTATAATACATTAAGGGGGGATATGATCACCATTGTATTATACATAAGGGGGGGATATGATCTCCATGTATAATAACATAAGGGGGGATATGATCACCATGTTAATAGCATTACATAAGGGGGGGAATTATGATCAACCATGTATAATACATAAGGGGGGATAAGAGATTCTCCAAGTATAAATACATAAGGGGGATATGATCTCCATGTATAATACATAAGGGGGGATATGATCTCCATGTATAATACATAAGGGGGGGATATGATCTTCCATGTATAATACATAAGGGGGGATATGATCTTCCATGTATAATAAGGGTGGGATAATGATCTCCATGTATAATACAATAAGGGGGGATATGATCACCATTTATAAGACCTAAGGGGGGATATGATCTCCATGTATAATACAATAAGGGGGATTTGATCTCCATGTATAATACATAAGGGGGGGATTATGATCTCCATGTATACATACATAAGGGGGGATATGATCTCTCCATGTATAATACATCAGGGGGGATATGGTCATCCAATCTGATGAGGACACCTGATGTAAGGAGGTGTTATTCTTTTTTACTTGATCTATGGATGTGATTGGCCTATTTTTATGATATGTTAGAGAGACTTTGGCTGGAAGAAAGTTTTAGTAAGCGGACCTCCTTCAATTATAATTTGTTACTCCTGCCTTAGGGGGCATTTTTGTGGTACTCAATATTGTGTGCATTCCTGCAATGTACACGAACACAGACAACCCTTTACATCCGCACACCATTCTTTTGCACCCATTCACCTGTGTCACATCTTATACTATCAGAATTCCAGGCGCATTGGTGCAGCACAATTTTTAGAAATGATATACCAGTTTTACGTGGATTTGTACTCCATTTGTTTTGCATGGTAAAATGTATTCCTCTGCCCTGCTCATGTGTTCGGGTGTGGCTTGAAGAAATCGTGGCAGCACCATAGATGTTCTTGCTGCCCATTTGCCTTTCTCCACCCCTATGTTCCAGAACTTTCTAGGGGGCTCTGGACTAGGGTATGGGGGGGGGAGAGAGGAGCTTGGTGCTGGGAGGGGATGTGGGAGGAAAGAGGAGCTCTGCACAGGGCATGTGTGTGTGTGTGGGGGGGGGGGGGGGTTGTAGGAGGAGGGAGGAGCCCTTTACTGGGGGGGGTGGAAATGGAGCACTGTACAAGGTGGGGGGGGGGGGGGGTTGTAAGAGGAGGAGGGAGCTCTCTACTAGGGGGTGGGGTGGAAATGGAGCTCTGTACAAGGGGTTTTTTTTTTTTTAGAGGAGGAGGGAGCACTCTACGGGGGGGGGGGGGGGTTGGATTTGTAGCTGTGTACAAGGTGGGGGGGGTTGTAGGAGAAGGAGGGAGCTCTGTACTGGGAGATAAGGGTGGGAGAGGAGCCTTTGTACAATGGGAGTTGTAGGAGGAGGGGGGCTTTGTACTGGGGGATGGGGAGTGAGGGTGGGAGAGGAGCTTGTAGGCAAGTGCACTCTGTTTATTAAACTGTAGGTGGCGCTTATATGAGTGCTACCACAGCCTGGAGAGGAAGGCAGTGGAAACGTGGTTTCTCTGTGGCTTCCTCGGTCATGGGGCGGTGCCGAGTGCCAGTTGGCTATGCTGCATCCTTGTGACCCCTGGCGGCCATCCTGGGTCATCAGGGTCTTTATAAGTCTCTGCCCCTGGGTTTTGGCACGCATTTGCAAACTTGGCACATAGTTACATAGTTAGTCTGGCTGAAAAAAGACAAAAGTCCATCCTGTTCAATCATAGAAAAAAAGTTCTAATCCTACACCCACAGCTGATCCAGACGAAGGCAAAAAACCCAGCAAAGCGCGCTCCAATCTCCTCCTGCAGAGGAAACATTCCTTCCTGATCCCCCGAGAGGCAATCGGATATTCCCTGGATCAATAATCGGATATTCCCTGGATCAACTTTCCCTATAAATGTTCTATCCAGTTATATTCTGTGTATCCAAGAAAGAAAACCAGGACTTTCCTACAGAAATCAAGGTTTGCAACAGAAGTAATGATAATCAGCGCAAATCTGGACCAAAGTCCGAAAAGTCTAGTAGTATTTTTAGTAGTCCGGGTGACTTGGATAGGGGGGTCCGTGTGGAACTTAGGGCAAGCTCCATGCAGTACTGTAGCAGACTCTGTGTAGGAAAGGCGAGAAGAAGAAGCGCCTCTAAGTGCAGCAGACCACTTTAATATATAATAAAAGTAGGAACACTCACATGGTAGTAGAGTAATAAAAGCATGTAGGGTATTGTGGTGTAGAAACACCGTGTGGAACGGCTGTCACTGGTGCCTGTACCGTCCACGTCTCAGTGGTAGGGAGCGTGGTTCAGGAGGGAGACAGATGTGGAGCCGGCCGTCATGCACGTACTCCTAAAGATGGCGGCTGAACTGCAACGTCAGTGTAGGCGTGATGTCGTCACTGACCAAGATGCAATGTGACGCGTTTCAGAGCATGTGCTGGCTTCAAATGGCGGAAGCGCGCTCCTTTCTCAAGCAGGGGCCCCGGCTCCACATCTGTCTCCCTCCTGAACCTCCTACCACTGAGACGCAGACGGTACAGGCACCAGTGACAGCCGTTCCACATGGTGTGTCTACACCACAATACCCTACATGCTTTTATAACTCTACTACCATGTGAGTGTTCCTACTTTTTATTATATATTAAAGTGGTCTGCTGCACTTAGAGGCGCTTCTACTTCTCTCCTTTCCTACAGCAATCCATTGAGCTGGCCAGAACCAACTCTTGAGGGAGAGTAGGGCGAGAGATCCCAAATGACAGAGAAAGTGACTTGAGTGGCCAGGAAAAGCTCCTGACGAGTAGGGACAGGTTAAGGATTCACTGTCCTCAAGGAAGCCTCCCCTGCTGGGACCAAAGTGGCCAGGCCACATATCACTCTCTGAAACAGACTCTGTCGGTGCACCCCTCTCTGCTGCATCTCTGCCTTTGAACTGAATTGCAAGTGTTTTCCTCAGGTGGCATTCTCCCGCTGGGGTGTTTGTAGTCTGGCATTCTCTTCAGTACAAGTTCTGAGTTTTATTGCAACCAAACTCTGTGTCTTCGCACCATGCTGCACCTCTCCAAAAGCTCTATACAGGGGTGTGTGTGGGAGGAGGGGGGCCTCTGTACTGGGGGCTGGTGGTGGGAGAGGAGCATTGTAGCAGTGGTGTGTCCAGTGATCATCAACACAGGGACATTTTTGTCTTTTCAGTAACACCCCGGGGGGAGGGGGGGTGCCCGGGGTGGAGGGACAGGGCACAATTTACCATATTTGACTGAGCCCTCAAAAAAAGTCAGAGTGGAATAAAGAATGCCCAGTACAGTGAACAGAATGTGAAAGTGTGCAGTACCATCAGTATTATCTCATGAGCTCCACCCAGATTATCTCATGAGCTCCGCCCATATTATTCCATGAGCTGTATCTAAATTATCCCATAAACTCCGCCCATATTATTCCATGAGCTGTATCTAAATTATCCCATAAACTCCGCCCATTTTATTCCATGAGCTCCATCCAAATGATTATTATTATTATACAGAATTTATATAGCGCCAAGGGGTTTGCTCAGCGCTGTACATTATAGTGGGGACAGAACATGAGACAATACAGTAACAATACAATACACGAGGGGGGGGAGGGCCCTGATCCTGGGAGCTTACAATCTAGGAGGGAGGGGAGAGTGGTACAGGAGGAAGTGGCTGTGGGGGATGCAGTGGTGGGAGGAGTGGAGGAGAACGGCTGTTAGGTGAGGGTGGGGTAGGCTTCCCTGAAGAGATGGGTTTTTAGGGCGCGCCTGAAGGTGAGGAGGGTAGGTGACAGTCTGATGGATTGGGGTAGGGAGTTCCAGAGGATGAGGGAAGTCCTGGAGAAGTCCTGCAGTCGGGTGTGGGAGGAGGAGACTAGGGAGCTGGAGAGTAGGAGGTCCTGTGAGGAGCAAAGGGCACGGGTTGGGTGGTATTTGGGTATCAGGTCGGTGAGGTAGTTTGGGGCGGAGTTATGAATGGCTTTGTATGTCAGAGTTAGTAGTTTGAATTTAATGCGTTGGGCAATAGGGAGCCAGTGGAGGGAATGACAGAGGGGGGTGGAGGACACTGAGTGGAGGCCAGTGGAGGGAATGACAGAGGGGGGGTGGAGGACACTGAGTGGAGGCCAGTGGAGGGAATGACAGAGGGGGGGTGGAGGACACTGAGTGGAGGCCAGTGAGGGGATTGGCAGAGGGGGGTGGAGGACACTGAGTGGAGGCCAGTGGAGGGATTGGCAGAGAGGGGTGGAGGACACTGAGTGGAGGCCAGTGGAGGGAATGACAGAGGGGGGTGGAGGACACTGAATGGAGGCCAGTGGAGGATTGGCAGAGGGGGGTGGAGGACACTGAGTGGAGGCCAGTGAAAGGATTGACAGAGGGGGTGGCAGAAGTGGAGCGGTTGGTGAGGTGGATGAGTCTGGCCGCTGAGTTCAGGATAGACTGGAGTGGGAATAGCATTTGTTTGGGTAGGCCGGTGAGGAGGGAGTTGCAGTAGTCCAGCCGTGATATGATGAGGGAGGCCGGTGAGGAGGGAGTTGCAGTAGTCCAGGCGTGAGATAATAAGGGAGTGAACGAGTTGTTTAGTGGTGTCTGGGGTGAGGAACGAACGTATCTTGAAGATGTTGCAGAGGCGGAGCCTGCATGAATTTGATAGTGATTGGACATGGGGTTGGAAGGACAGGTTTGAGTCCAGGGTGACACCTAGGACTTTGGCTTGTGGGGTGGGACTGATGGTGGCGTTGTTGGTCGTGATGGAGAGGGTGGAGGGGGGGGCGCGGCTGGGGGGGAAGACTAGGAGCTCGGTTTTGGAAAGGTTTAACTTGAGGAAATGGAGCGACATCCAGTCTGATATGTCATTCAGTAGATGGGTGGTACGGGCGGAGAGTGAGGGGGTGAGGTGGGGGGTGGAGAGGTAAATTTGTGTGTCGTCGGCATAGAGGTGATAGTTGAAGACCGTGAGAGTGTATCAGTTTGCAGAGGGAGGAGGTGTAGATGGAGAAGAGAAGGGGCCCGAGGACAGAGCCTTGAGGGACCCCAACAGAGAGGGGGAGTGAGGGGGAGGTGGTAGCGTTATAGGTAACGATGAAGGAGCGTTGGGATAGATAGGAGGAGAGTCAGGAGAGAGCAGTGTCCCTGATGCCAAATTATCCCATAAAACTCCGCCCATATTATTCCATGAGCTCAATTCAAATTATCCCATAAACTCCACCCATATTATTTCATGAGCTCCAACCAAATTATCCCATAAACTCCGCCCATATTATTCCATGAGCTCAATTCAAATTATCCCATAAACTCCACCCATATTATTTCATGAGCTCCATCCAAATTATCCCATAAACTCCGCCCATATTATTCCATGAGCTCCAAATCCAAATTATCCCATAAACTCCGCCCATATTATTCCATGAGCTCAATTCAAATTATCCCATAAACTCCACCCATATTATTTCATGAGCTCCATCCAAATTATCCCATAAACTCCGCCCATATTATTCCATGAGCTCAATTCAAATTATCCCATAAACTCCACCCATATTATTTCATGAGCTCCATCCAAATTATCCCATAAACTCCGCCCATATTATTCCATGAGCTCAATTCAAATTATCCCATAAACTCCGCCCATATTATTCCATGAGCTCAATTCAAATTATCCCATAAACTCCGCCCATATTATTCCATTAGCTTGGCCCATATTATTCCATTAGCTCCGCCCATATTATTCCATGAGTCCCATCCAGTGAATGATGAAGCAATGGACGACTTTTGGGTTTTTTGTTTTTCAGTGGAAGTGGAAGTGTTGTGGTATTTGGCGGAATTGATGATTCTCTGTACACTGGAAATCTGCATTGGGTGCCGGTCACAGAACAGAAATACTGGCAGATTACAATAGACAGGTAAGCTTGAGTCAAGTCTTTCCCTAATAGACAGGTCAATACGAGCCAATCCGATCTCCTATAGACAGGTCAATACGAGCCAATCCGATCTCCTATAGACAGGTCAATACGAGCCAATCCGATCTCCTATAGACAGAGGTCAGTACGAACCAATCCGATCTCCTATAGACAGAGGTCAGTAGAACCAATCCGATCCGATCTCCTATAGATAGAGGTCAGTACAAACCAATCCGATCTCCTGTAGACAGAGGTCAATACGAACCAATCCGATCCGATCTCCTATAGACAGAGGTCAGTACGAACCAATCCGATCCGATCTCCTATAGACAGAGGTCAGTACGAACCAATCCGATCTCCTATAGACAGAGGTCAGTACGAACCAATCCGATCTCCTATAGACAGAGGTCAGTACGAACCAATCCGATCTCCTATAGACAGAGGTCAGTACGAACCAATCCGATCTCTCCTGTAGACAGAGGTCAGTATGAACCAATCCGATCCGATCTCCTATAGACAGAGGTCAGTACAAACCAATCTGATCTCCTATAGACAGAGGTCAGTACGAACCAATCCGATCTCCTGTAGACAGAGGTCAGTACGAACCAATCCGATCTCCTATAGACAGAGGTCAGTACGAACCAATCCGATCCGATCTCCTATAGACAGAGGTCAGTACGAACGAACCAATCCGATCTCCTATAGACAGAGGTCAGTACGAACCAATCCGATCTCCTATAGACAGAGGTCAGTACGAACCAATCCAATCCGATCTCCTATAGACAGAGGTCAGTACCAACCAATCTGATCTCTCTATAGACAGAGGTCAGTACCAACCAATCCGATCTCCTGAAGACAGAGGTCAGTACGAACCAATCCGATCTCCTGTAGACAGAGGTCAGTACGAACCAATCCGATCTCCTGTAGACAGAGGTCAGTACGAACCAATCCGATCTCCTGTAGACAGAGGTCAGTACGAACCAATCCGATCTCCTATAGACAGAGGTCAGTACAAACCAATCCGATCTCCTACAGACAGAGGTCAGTACGAACCAATCCGATCTCCTATAGACAGAGGTCAGTACCAACCAATCCGATCTCCTATAGACAGAGGTCAGTACGAACCAATCCAATCCGATCTCCTATAGACAGACGTCAGTACGAACCAATCCGATCCGATCTCCTATAGACAGAGGTCAGTACGAACCAATCCGATCTCCTATAGACAGAGGTCAGTACGAACCAATCCGATCCGATCTCCTATAGACAGAGGTCAGTACGAACCAATCCGATCTCCTATAGACAGAGGTCAGTACCAACCAATCCGATCTCCTATAGACAGAGGTCAGTACCAACCAATCCGATCTCCTGTAGACAGAGGTCAGTACAAACCAATCCGATCTCCTGTAGACAGAGGTCAGTACAAACCAATCCGATCTCCTACAGACAGAGGTCAGTACCAACCAATCCGATCTCCTATAGACAGAGGTCAGTACAAACCAATCCGATCTCCTACAGACAGAGGTCAGTACGAACCAATCCGATCTCCTATAGACAGAGGTCAGTACAAACCAATCCGATCTCCTACAGACAGAGGTCAGTACGAACCAATCCGATCTCCTATAGACAGAGGTCAGTACCAACCAATCCGATCTCCTATAGACAGAGGTCAGTACGAACCAATCCAATCCGATCTCCTATAGACAGACGTCAGTACGAACCAATCCGATCTCCTATAGACAGAGGTCAGTACGAACCAATCCGATCTCCTATAGACAGAGGTCAGTACCAACCAATCCGATCTCCTATAGACAGAGGTCAGTACGAACCAATCCAATCCGATCTCCCTATAGACAGACGTCAGTACAAACCAATCCAATCCGATCTCCTATAGACAGAGGTCAGTACGAACCAATCCGATCCGATCTCCTATAGACAGAGGTCAGTACGCACCAATCCGATCCGATCTCCTATAGACAGAGGTCAGTACGAACCAATCCGATCTCCTATAGACAGAGGTCAGTACGAACCAATCCGATCCGATCTCCTATAGACAGAGGTCAGTACGCACCAATCCGATCCGATCTCCTATAGACAGAGGTCAGTACGCACCAATCCGATCTCCTATAGACAGAGGTCAGTACGAACCCAATCCGATCCGATCTCCTATAGACAGAGGTCAGTACGAACCAATCCGATCTCCTATAGACAGAGGTCAGTACCAACCAATCCGATCTCCTATAGACAGAGGTCAGTACGAACCAATCCAATCCGATCTCCTATAGACAGACGTCAGTACAAACCAATCCAATCCGATCTCCTATAGACAGAGGTCAGTACCAACCAATCCGATCCGATCTCCTATAGACAGACGTCAGTACAAACCAATCCAATCCGATCTCCTATAGACAGACGTCAGTACAAACCAATCCAATCCGATCTCCTATAGACAGAGGTCAGTACGCACCAATCCGATCTCCTATAGACAGAGGTCAGTACGCACCAATCCGATCTCCTATAGACAGAGGTCAGTACCAACCAATCCGATCTCCTATAGACAGAGGTCAGTACCAACCAATCCGATCTCCTATAGACAGAGGTCAGTACCAACCAATCCAATCCGATCTCCTATAGACAGACGTCAGTACAAACCAATCCAATCCGATCTCCTATAGACAGAGAGGTCAGTACGAACCAATCCGATCTATAGACAGAGGTCAGTACCAACCAATCCGATCTCCTATAGACAGAGGTCAGTACGAACCAATCCGATCTCCTATAGACAGACGTCAGTACAAACCAATCCAATCCGATCTCCTATAGACAGAGGTCAGTACGAACCAATCCGATCCGATCTCCTATAGACAGAGGTCAGTACGAACCAATCCGATCCGATCTCCTATAGACAGAGGTCAGTACGAACCAATCCAATCCGATCTCCTATAGACAGAGGTCAGTACGCACCAATCCGATCCGATCTCCTATAGAGAGAGGTCAGTACGCACCAATCCGATCTCCTATAGACAGAGGTCAGTACCAACCAATCCAATCCGATCTCCTATAGACAGAGGTCAGTACCAACCAATCCGATCCGATCTCCTATAGACAGAGGTCAGTACCAACCAATCCGATCCGATATGACAGATTAGTATAAGCCGTTTTCTCTCCCTATAAATCTCTCTCTCAGGATTACCATGAATGGTCAGGTGGTGGCCTGTCTAGAGGGATGTCAATCTATAGTGGATACGGGGACATCGGTCATCGCTGGTCATCCAGGCGCCATCAGTGGGATCCAAAGAGCCATTGGAGCAACTCCGGACACATACGGACTGGTGACTAACCTTCATATATCTCTCCTTACGTGAATGAACACCCTTCTCATATCTCTCCTTACATGAATGAACACCCTTCTCGTATCTCTCCTTACATGAATGAACACCCTTCTCGTATCTCTCCTTACATGAATGAACACCCTTCTCATATCTCTCCTTACATGAATGAACACCCTTCTCTTATCTCTCCTTACATGAATGAACACCCTTCTCGTATCTCTCCTTACATGAATGAACACCCTTCTCGTATCTCTCCTTACATGAATGAACACCCTTCTCTTATCTCTCCTTACATGAATGAACACCCTTCTCGTATCTCTCCTTACATGAATGAACACCCTTCTCGTATCTCTCCTTACATGAATGAACACCCTTCTCGTATCTCTCCCTACATGAATGAACACCCTTCTCATATCTCTCCTTACATGAATGAACACTCTTCTCGTATCTCTCCTTACATGAATGAATGTCCTTCTGGTATCTCTCCTTACGTGAATGAACACCCTTCTCGTATCTCTCCTTACGTGAATGAACACCCTTCTCGTATCTCTCTTTTACGTGAATGAACACCCTTCTCGTATCTCTCTCTTTACGTGAATGAACACCCTTCTCGTATCTCTCCTTACGTGAATGAACACCCTTCTCGTATCTCTCCTTACGTGAATGAACACCCTTCTCGTATCTCTCCTTACGTGAATGAACACCCTTCTCGTATCTCTCCTTACGTGAATGAACACCCTTCTTCTCGTGACCTCTCTTTACGTGAATGAACACCCTTCTCGTATCTCTCCTCCTTACGTGAATGAACACCCTTCTTCTCGTATCTCCCCTTACGTGAATGAACACCCTTCTCCCCACTTATGTGAATGAACACCCTTCTCATATCTCTCCTTACATGAATGAACACCCATCTCGTATCTCTCCTTACATGAATGAACGTCCTCGTATCTCTCCTTACATGAATGAACACCCTTCTCTTATCTCTCCTTACATGAATGAACACCCTTCTCGTATCTCTCCTTACATGAATGAACACCACATCTCGTATCTCTCCTTACATGAATGAACGTCCTCGTATCTCTCCTTACATGAATGAACACCCCATCTCTTATCTCTCCTTACATGAATGAACGTCCTTCTCATATCTCTCCTTACATGAATGAACACTCAGGACCATCAGTCCAACATACATTCACCAGCCACTTTATTAGGTCCACCTTGCTAGTGCCCAGAAAATCTCCCCCAAACCATGACACCATGACACCACCACCCACCAGCCTGAACTGTGGATACAAGGCAGGATGGATCCACCACACCATGACACCACCACCACCAGCCTGAACTGTGGATACAAGGCAGGATGGATCCACCACACCATGACACCACCACCACCAGCCTGAACTGTGGATACAAGGCAGGATGGATCCCCCACACCATGACACCACCACCACCAGCCTGAACCATTGATACAAGGCAGGATGGATCCATGCTTTCATGTTGTTTACACCAAATTCTGACCCCACCATCTGAATGTCGCAGCTAAAATCCAGACTCATCAGACCAGGCAACGTTTTTCCAATCTTCTATTGTCCAATTGTGGTGATCCTGTGTGAATTGTAGCCTCCGTTTGCTGTTCTTAGCTGACAAGAGTGGCACCCGGTGTGGTCTTCTGCTGCTGTAGCCCATCTGCTTCAAGGTTAGATGTGTTGTACGTTCAGAGATGGTATTCTCCATACCTTGGGTGTAAGGAGGAGTTATTGGAGTTACTGTTGCCTTTCTATCATCTGGAACTAGTCTGCCCATTCTCCTCTCACCTCTGACCTCAACAAGTAATTTTCCTCCACACAACTGCCGCTCACTGGATATTTTCTCTTTTTCGGACCATTCTCTGTAAACTCTCTAGAGATGGTTGTGTGTGAAAATCCCAGGAGATCAGCCCAGAGAAATACTCAGACCAGCCCGTCTGGACCAACAACCATGCAACGTTCAAAGTCACTTAAATCCCCTTTCTTCCCCATTCTGATGCTCAATTCAGAACTTCAGCAAGTCATCTTCACCACATCTAGATGCCTAAATGCATTGGATTGCTGCCATGTAATTGGCTGATTAGCCATTTGTGTTACCAAGCCATTGGACAGGTGGACCTGATAGGGTGGCCACTAAGTGTATTTTATTAGTGTTGTCCCATGCAGGAAATAGTTACCTTGGGTATAAAGGGTGTAAAAATGGAGGTCGGTTGTGGACATAAAGGAAACTGATTGAACCCTAACCCTACATTGACCATGGGGAGAAAGTATTGTGGGATATAGTGTAGGGGAAGCATAGGGGGTGCTGATCATGGATGGGAGGAGAGGGGGTGCTGATTATGGACTGGGGTTTTAGGGGAGGTGTGAGGTGTTGATCATGGACTGGGGTTTTAGGGAAGGCAGAGGCGGTGCCAATTATGTACTGGGGGTTTAGGGGAGGTGAGGGGTGCTGATCATGGACTGGGGTTTAGGGGAGGCAAAGGCAGTGCCAATTATGGACTGGGGGTTTAGGGGAGGTGAGGGGTGTTGATCATGGGCTGGGGTTTAGGGGAGGTGAGGGGTGCTGATCATGGACTGGGGTTTAGGGGAGGCAAGGGCAGTGCCATCATGGACTGGGGGTTTAGGGGAGGTGAGGGGTGCTGATCATGGGCTGGGGTTTAGGGGAGGTGAGGGGTGCTGATCATGGACTGGGGTTTAGGGGAGGTGAGGGGTGCTGATCATGGACTGGGGTTTAGGGGAGGTGAGGGGTGCTGATCATGGACTGGGGTTTAGGGGAGGCAGAGGCAGTGCCAATTATGGACTGGGGGTTTAGGGGAGGTGAGGGGTGCTGATCATGGGCTGGGGTTTAGGGGAAGTGAGGGGTGCTGATTATGGACTGGAGGTTTAGGGGAGGTGAGGGGTGCTGATCATGGGCTGGGGGTTTAGGGGAGGCAGAGGCAGTGCCAATTATGGACTGGGGGTTTAGGGGAGGCAAAGGTGGTATTGATTAAGGACTGGGGATTAAGGAGAGGCAGAGGGGGTGCTCATCATGGACCAGGGAAGAATTTAGGGGTAGGACAGGGAGAGCTTATCATGGACATGGGTAGTGGGGGGGGATGTGTAAAGAGAAGGTAGAGTGGGGGAGGGGGTATTAAATGGGGGTAGAGTTGGGGAGGGGGTATACTATGGAGGTAGAGTAGGGGAGGGGGTATTAAATGGGGGTAGAGTAGGGGAGGGGGTATACTATGGAGGTAGAGTAGGGGAGGGGGTATTAAATGGGGTAGAGTGGGATATTTATGGATAATGACAGGAATTAATAGACAGAGGGAGTTCCTCAGGACCAGAGAAGATGACCATGGATGGTGGCAGAGAAGATGACCATGGATGGTGGCAGAGAAGATGACCATGGATGGTGCAGAGAAGATGTTTATTACTTTCCTGGATTCAGCACGGATTGCCACTAATATGTTGAATCTTTTCCTTCAGTATCATGTGAACTGTGACACCATCAGTCATCTTCCAGACATTATCATATCCATTCATGGGAGGAACTACCCTCTGCCTGCCAGAGCCTACATCAACCAGGTGAGTGACAACACCGTGTCCATATGGTGTCACCGTCAGATGAGGATTATTATAGAGGTAGTTTACACAGAGCTCTACAAGATACAGGGAGACAGTACTGCTAAAATACAAGAGGGCTAAGAGGGCCCTGCTCCCAAAATCTTACAATCTATTAGGGTGGGGCAGGTGGTAGAAAAGGTAATACCTGAAGCAGAGGGGGGTGCCGATTATGGACTGGGAGAGTTTAGGGGAGGTGAGGGGTGCTGATTGTGGACTGAGAGGAGTGGAGGACACTGAATTATTATTATTATTATTATTATTATACAGGATTTATATGGCGGCAGAAGGTTTGCTCAGCGCTGTACATTATAGTGGGGACAGAAGATGAGACAATACAGTAACAAAACAGAACACGAGGGATTCAAGGGCCCTGCTCTTTCCAGTTTACAATCTAGGAGGGAGGGGAGAGTGGTACAGGAGGAAGTGGCTGTGGGGGATGGAGTGGTGGGAGGAGAGGAGGAGATCGGCTGTTAGGTGAGGGCGGGGTAGGCTTCCCTGAAGAGAAGGGTTTTCAGGGTGCGCCTAAAGGTGAGGAGGGAAGGTGACAGTCTGATGGATTGGGGTAGTGAGTTCCAGAGGATGGGGGAAGTCCTGGAGAAGTCCTTCAGTCGGGCGTGGGAGGTGGAGACCAGGGAGCTAGAAAGTAGGAGGTCTTGTGAGGAGCAAAGATTATGGGTTGGGTGGTATTTGGGTATCAGGTCGGTGAGGTAGTTTGGGGCGGAGTTATGAATGGCTTTGTATGTCAGTGTTAGGAGTTTGAATTTAATGCGTTGGGCAATCGGAGCCAGTGGAGGGAATGACAGAGGGGGGTGGAGGACACTGAGTGGAGGCCAGTGGAGGGAATGACAGAGGGGGGTGGAGGACACTGAGTGGAGGCCAGTGGAGGGAATGACAGAGGGGGGTGGAGGACACTGAGTGGAGGCCAGTAGAGGGAATGACAGAGGGGGGTGGAGGACACTGAGTGGAGGCCAGTGAAGGGATTGACAGAGGGGGGTGGAGTGGAGGGAATGACAGAGGGGGGTGGAGTGTGGAGGCCAGTGGAGGGAATGACAGAGGGGGGTGGAGGACACTGAGTGGAGGCCAGTGGAGGGAATGACAGAGGGGGGTGGAGGACACTGAGTGGAGGCCAGTAGAGGAATGACAGAGGGGGGTGGAGGACACTGAGTGGAGGCCAGTGAAGGGATTGACAGAGGGGGGTGGAGGACAGTGGAGGGAATGACAGAGGGGGGTGGAGGACACTGAGTGGAGGCCAGTGGAGGGAATGACAGAGGGGTGGAGGACACTGAGTGGAGGCCAGTGGAGGGAATGACAGAGGGGGGTGGAGGACACTGAGTGGAGGCCAGTAGAGGGAATGACAGAGGGGGGTGGAGGACACTGAGTGGAGGCCAGTGAAGGGATTGACAGAGGGGGGTGGAGGACAGTGGAGGGAATGACAGAGGGGGTGGCAGATGTGGAGCGGTTGGTGAGGTGGATGAGTCTGGCCGCTGAGTTCAGGATAGACTGAAGCGGGGATAGTCTGTGATGAGGGAGGCCGGTGATGAGGGAATTGCAGTAGTCCAGACGTGAGATGATGAGGGAGTGAACGAGTAGTTTAGTAGTGTCTGGGGTTAGGAACAAACGTATTTTGGAGATGTTGCAGAGGCGGAGCCTGCATGAGTTTGCCAACGATTGGACATGGGGTTGGAAGGACAGGTTTGAGTCCAGAGTGACACCTAGGACTTTGGCTTGTGGGGTGGGAGTGATGGTGGCGTTGTTCGTCGTGATGGAGAGGGTGGGGGGAGCGCACGGGCTGGGGGAAAAATCAGGAGCTCGGTTTTGGAAAGGTTTAGTTTGAGGAAGTGGAGTGACATCCAGTCTGATATGTCATTCAGTAGGTGTGTGATTCGGGCGGAGACTGAAGGGTTGAGTTGAGTGGTGGAGAGATAGATTTGTGTGTCATCGGCATAGAGGTGATAGTTGAAGCCGTGGGAGTGTATCAGTTTGCCGAGGGAGGAGGTGTAGATGGAGAAGAGAAGGGGCCCGAGGACAGAGCCTTGGGGGACCCCAACAGAGAGGGGGAGAAAGGGGGAGGTGGCAGCGTTATAGGTAACGCTGAAGGAGCGCTGGGATAGATAGGAGGAGAGTCAGGAGAGAGCGGAGTCTCTGATGCCAAGGGAGTGTAGTTTAGTAAGGAGGAGGGGGGGTGGTGGACTGTGTCGAAGGCCGCAGAGAGGTCAAGGAGTAGGAGCACTGAGTAGTGGCCATTAGCTTTGGCGGTTAGTAGGTCGTTGGAGAGTTTTTGAGGAGGGCGATTTCAGTGGAGTGTAGGGGACAGAAACCGGACTGTAGTGGATCAAGGAGGTTGTTGTCGGTGAGGTCGGAGCTCAGGCGATTGTAGACTAAGCGCTCAAGGAGTTTGGAAGTAAATGGCAGCAGGGAGATGGGTCTAAGGTGGTTCAGGTCGGTGGGATCCAGTGAGGGTTTTTTGAGTATGGGGGTGATGTGCGCGTGCTTTAGGGGGGAGGGGAATGCACTAGTAGAGAGGGAGAGATTGAAGATGTGGGTGAGGGAGCATAGGATGGAGGAGGAGGGTGACCGGAGGAGTTGTGTGGGGACAGGGTCAAGGGGGCAAGTGGTGAGATGGGCTTCTGAGAAGACCTTAGTGACCTCCTCAGTGGTAGCAAGGCTGAAGGAGCGGAGTGTTGGGGAGGTTATAGTGTCCGGGACGTTAGGTGTGGTGGGGGTAGGGCGGTTGCGAGGTCAGAGGAGGGGAGAGTTGGAGGGGTTGTAGTGGGAAGGGAGGCTAGGTGGGGAGGTAGGTTGAGCATTGGCGATGTCCTTACGGATTGCGTCGATCTTATTTTGGAAGTGATTGGCAATCTCGTGGGCGGTGAGTGAGGTACTGGGTGGGGGCGGGGAGCGGTGAGTGAGGTACTGGGTGGGGGTGGGGGGGGGGAGAGTAGAGAGTTGAAGGTGGAGAAGAGCCGGCGGGAACAGGTGGAGAAGGTGTTGATGAGGGTTACAAAGTAGGCTTGTTTGGTGGCGTGGAGGGAGGAGGAGTAGGTGAGGAAGGCGGATTTGTAGAGGGAGAACGCTCGAGGCGATCTGGTTTTGCGCCATAATCGTTCCAGCGCACGACTGCGTTGTTTAAGATGTTTAGTGTGGTCGTTCTGCCAGGGTTGAAGTGGTCGGGGTCTGATGTTTAGTGTGGTCAGTCTGCCAGGGTTGGAGCGGTCGGGGTCTGATGTTTAGTGTGGTCATTCTGCCAGGGTTGAAGTGGTCGGGGTCTGATGTTTAGTGGGGTCAGTCTGCCAGGGTTGGAGCGGTCGGGGTCTGATGTTTAGTGTGGTTAGTCTGCCAGGGTTGGAGTGGTCGGGGTCTGATGCTACGTGTGGTTAGGGGTGCCAGGGAGTCTAAGGCAGCTGACAGAGTCGTTGTACACAGTAGTGGCCAGGTCAGGGCAGGACAGGGGAAGGATACTGTCGTACAGACGATCAGCTGCAGAGTGGAGGGGGGCCGGGTTCAGGTTGCGGAGGTTATGGCTGGTGATGGTTGGACGTTTGGGGGGGAGGCGTTATAGGACGGGGAGATGGAGAACGTAATGAGGTTGTGGTCAGAGAGGGGGAAAGGGGTGTGTGTGAGGTTGTGGGGGGTGCAGAGATGGGAGAAGACGAGGTCCAGGGTGTTCCCATTGGTGTGGGTGGAGGACTGTGTGCACTGTGTGAGTGCAGAAGAAGAGGTTAGGAGGAGGAGTTGGGATGTAGCCGGGTTGTTGATATTGATGGGGATATTGAAGGATGATGGTGGGGAGCTCAGAGGAGAGGAAGAAGGGCAAATAGGCGGAAAAGTCATCAAGGAAGTGGGATACGGGTCCAGGAGGCCGATAGATTACTTCAATCCTCAGAGGGGTGGAGGAGAAGAGTCGGATGCAGTGGGCCTAGAAGCAGGAGGATAGGGAGGGGAGGTTTGGGAGGACCTGGAAGGTGGTCAGCGGTGACAAGAGCACGCCGACTCCCCCCTCTGCAGCCACTCGGTCTGGGTGAATGGGACCAGACTAGACCTCCATAGGAGAGTGCCGCAGGGGAGGCGGAGTCAGTGGCTTGGATCCAGGTTTCGGTGACTGCTAGGAGGTTGAGGGAGTGGGGGATAGAGAGGTCATGGATGGCGGTGAGCTTCTTGCAAACCGATCGGGCGTTCAGGAGTGCAGTGCAACCGAGAGAGGAGGGGGGTGGATGCGGGGAGGAGGGGGGGGACAGGTATAAGGTTGAGGGGGTTGCGGCGGTTTGTTGGAGTAGGAGGGTGCCTAGTGGGTGAGTGAGGTGCTGGAGGACCAGGGTTTGGGGAGATATCCCCAGAGGTTAGGAGAAGAAGTGTGAGGAAAGTAAGATGGGAGTGGGATGTACACGAGCGCACATGCCTTCCAGTCCTGGTGTTTGGGTCAGCAGGAGGTGATGAGAGCAGTAGTAGGGAGATGGTAGCAGTGTGGGGGATGTACAAGTTTTGGGGTGGAGCAGAGGGGTAAAGAAATGAGATTTTGGGAACGCAAGAAAGTAATATGAAAAGGAGGAGTAGAGGGGACATATTAAAAAGGTACTCGGAGTGGGACTCAGACTTGTAAGAGACGTTTCCCGGGGGGGTTTGCTTGCAGTCTGTCCAGCATGCAGGAGAGTTTCTTGCTGTTGTTGTGTCTTCCTGCTGCTTGACTTCTCCCTGCTTTAGTTCAACTGCTTCTTAGCACTCCATCAACGCAGCACTCACACAATGCAGCACCCCCAATAGAGACTGTGCCCCCCCCATGGAGGCCATTGGAGGTATTGGCAGAGAGGGATGGAGGACACTGAGCGAAGACCAATGGCAGGATTTTCTAGAGAGGGGTGGAGGACACTGAAGGGAAGCCAGTGAAGGGATTGATAGAGGGGGTAGAAGACACTGAATGGAGACCAGTGGAGGGATTTATAGAGAGGGGTGGAGGACACTGAAGGGAAGCCAATGGAGGGATTGGCAGAGAGGGGTGGAGGACAATGAGTGGAGGCCATTGGAGGTATTGGCAGAGAGGGGTGGAGGACACTGAGTGGAGGCCAGTGGAGGAATATGCAGAGAGGGGTGGAGGACACTGAGTGGAGGCCAGTGGAGGGATTAGCAGAGAGGGTGGAGTGGAGGCCAGACACTGAACTGAATGGAGGCCATTGGAGGTATTGGCAGAGAGGGGTGGAGGACACTGAGTGGAGGCCAGTGGAGGAATATGCAGAGAGGGGTGGAGGACACTGAGTTGAGGCCAGTGGAGGGATTAGCAGAGAGGAGTGAAGGACACTGAATGGAGGCCATTGGAGGTATTGACAGAGAGGGGTGGAGGACACTGAGTGGAGGCCAGTGAAGGAATATGCATAGAGGGGTGGAGGACAGTGAGTGGAGGGATTAGCAGAGAGAAGTGGAGGACACTGAATGGAGGCCAGTGGAGGAATTGGCAGAGAGGGGTGGAAGACACTGAATGGAAGCCAGTGGAGGGATTGGCAGAGAGGGGTGGAAGACACTGAATGGAGGCCAGTGTAGGGATTGGCAGAGAGGGGTGGAAGACACTGAATGGAGACCAGTGGAGGGATTGGCAGAGAGGGGTGGAGGAAACTGAATGGAGGCCAGTGGAGTGATTGGCAGAGAGAGGTGGAAGACACTGAATGGAGGCCAGTGGAGGGATTGGCAGAGAGGGGTGGAGAACACTGAATGGAGGTCAGTGTAGGGATTGGCAGAGAGGGGTGGAAGACACTGAATGGATGCCAGTGGAGGGATTGTCAGAGAGGGGTGGAGGACACTGAATGGAGGTCAGTGTAGGGATCAGCAGAGAGGGGTGGAGGAAACTGAGTGGAGGCCAATGGAGGGATTGGCAGAGAGGGGTGGAGGACACTGAGTGGAGGTCAGTAGAGGGATTGGCAGAGAGGGGTGGAGGACACTGAGTGGAGGCCAATGGAGGGATTGGCAGAGAGGGGTGGAGGACGCTGAGGGGTTGGTAAGGTGGATGAACCTAGCAGCCTCATTCATGATGAATGGATGGAGGGGATCGCCTGTGGAGAGGTCATTGGTGTCATTGGTGTCATTGGTCACGGTGAGAGATAACAAGGGAGGGATGAAGTATCTTTGTGGTTTCAATGGTTTGATGGGTTAGGGTCAGGTGCAATGCTTTGGCCAATCACAGCACAATTGGGTGGGGCAAGCAGTGATATCACCAATAGCTCCGCCCAATTGTTTACATCTGCGGTGAGTGCTCAGGGGTGCGGATGGGTCAGCAGGATTTTTTTTATGTCGGTGAATCGTTCGTCGTTGTGACAACACTGGACGCCATGATTGACGATGGATTACAACGATGGAAACATTTTTTTGGCTTTTTTTCCAATAAAGGACTTGTCATAGACTGTCGTGTATTTATTCAGAGTTTACACTTCTTTGGTGGATGGGTAGTGGGACTTTGTACCCCATACTCATTCACAAGGGGGGTGGGATCTTGTTAAAGGGGGCTTCGAGATTCCAGCCCAGGGTTGTGGGGAAGAGGCACCTGTCCCCTACGGCATGCTTTTCCCCTCCTTTCCTGGCCTGCCAGGTCTGTGCTCCGATCAAGGGACTGGTAGGATTTTAGGGGGGACCCCATGATTCCACCATTGGGGGGTAGGGTTCCCCTTAAAAGTCCTACCAGGCCTAAAGGGTCTGCTATGCTGGTGAATAGGATCTCAACCCTGCCTTCATCCAGTTCTGTCAAGGGTCCCAGGGACACATTTGGGCATGACTTCCTTTCCTCAGCCTGAATCTACCGGGCTACCCCAGGTGTATAGGGTCCAACAGGGCAATCCAGCAGGTCCAGGGTGAGGAAAGAGAAGTCATCCCAGAAATGTGAACCAGATTTGGGAGCACAGTATGCCAGACCAATGTCCTTAATGGCAGTACCCAGAGCTTCTTCCCATGGATGATTAGGAGCATTTCTTTAGCTGAGAAGACTTTTGGAATAAATGTACTCTGATACTCAACTCTCCCACCCCATATTTTATAAGTGGATTGTAACCTTTTCCTCTTTATTAATCTGTATTTCCATTCTATGGCTCTCCTGCTGTCCATCTTCTTCTGAATTAAGATTTTTGTACCACTAACTCAGATACATGCATGCATTGGGTTTGTATGGCCAGTAGATGATGCTAGTGACCCGGACAGAGAAGATTCTAGAAAAGATGCAGCTAAGACTGGGAACAAAGAACCACTGTCTGGCCTATGGTGGTCATCAGGGTCACAGGTTTCATTAATCATGTCTGAGGTCTCTGTAGAAATCTTCCAGGTTAGAAGTTAAAGAAAAATTCCCCAAAACTCTAATAAATGTTCTAGTCCACCAAATGTTATCTATCTGAACCTTCCTGGCTGTGTCAGTCTGCAGAAGTCTAAAGGGAAATTCAGGCGCCCAAAAGATGGAAGATAAAATGTCAGATTCAGTCTCCCATCAGTCAATCTTTTCCACCAAGGTCTTCCAGGGGAGGACTAAGGCTATCCTTGTGTTTGCATATCCTCCTTCTATCACACATGACTACATGGCATCAGGGTTGCAGCAATTCTAACCAAGACAAAGGCACACCTGGGATCTAACTGATAAAACATTGTATTTGTTCTTTTCATGAATAAAGTCACAATGATCTCCACACTGAATTGTAGGAGGTTCTGTATTGACACCGTTCTTTGTATTGTGTGCAGTTCTCTGGATCCTGCAGCAGTGGCTTCCAGTCCACCTCTGGCCTTTGGATTCTTGGTGACATTTTCATCCGGGAATATTTTGTGGCATTTGATCGGGGAAATAACAGAGTCGGATTTGCTCCTACTATCAAGTCATAACTTGTATTCTCCACGAAAAGGTTCATATGTGAGACTACGGTTCATGATTTCTGAATAAAGTTGGTGCAGTTCACTCTGTGCTTTGTCTTCCCCTCATTGAATCTCTCCCACGTTTATTGACAGCAGTGTGAGTGTATTGAGTGCCATGTGCTTCTGGGGATCAAGCAACACTCAAGGATGCATTGGAGTTCATACCATCAGTGAACCTTCTGTACATTTGTAGTACCCTGGGTAGTGTAGGACCCCCAAGTGGCTCGGTAGGCTAGCATTCCAACTCTCAGGGTGACCTCCTTGGGGTGGATGAAATTAGAGTTTGTCATTTTAAAACATTTCAGGCATTTATTAGGAACTTGGGAAAGAAGGCTGGGGCATGGGATACCCACAAAGACAACATGAATATCTCCAGACTTCTGCTAGTCACAGCGACTTACTGACTATCCAGCAATCTGTGTGCACTGAAGAGTGAACACCACCAGGGAGCACAAATACCTTCTAGACAGGTAGAAAGGACCCCTGCAATGCCCTTTGACAGAGTTCCAGTACATGGGAAGGTGCCAAGCATGACACCCATTCACTACCAGAGCCTCCATCACCCTTGCAATGTCACCCGCTTCCTGGCTGGTTGGTTGCTTAGGCATGTGACAGATGTATGGTAGTCATTAGCAACTACAATATAACCTCCTTAGGACAGCTCCTCTGCTCATTAGACCCATGTACTGTATCCTCTCCTCCACGTCAATGGGCCCTGTACATGCATGCACCCTTTAATGACTTCAGACTGGGCAGTAGAACTGAATAACAAGTTCTTTTACTAAAATAGTTGAAAGAAGTACAGAAGCAGTCCTCATTCCTGACAAATTTCCCAAAGTACCCCGGGTGTAGTGACCACTGAGGTAGTTATACCCCCTGGATGTCTGACATGGCTCCCACAAAGGGTCTCAGTGCAACCAAGTAACAGCTTCATCTTCAACTCTCTCTCTTCCTCCCTCTTTCTGGTGGACTAGGGAGCCCCTATTTATATAGTGTGACCTGTAGGGGGCAGTAACCTACTGAGAACAGCAGTGTTAACCCTTCCTTCTCAGGATCCACCAGCCCAGCAGGTCAACCAAGGACAACAATGCAAAGAACCTACAATGTAGCAGATGGTTCTTACACACATATCCAGGTGAAATAACCAGATCCAGGGTAATCATGAGAAGAACACATTGAACACTAAAAGAGCCTGCTTACATGTTTGTATCCGTGTTCTCAGCCAATCTGTATTGTCAGTTATCCCGCATTCTGACCGAAAATGCCAGTCGTTCATCTCTGGTCAGTTGGCTGATAATGTTACTGTCACGATATGGGTCTCTGCCAATCCCAGATATTAGTTCCTTGTTCCTAATTCCTCCTGGCCATAGGAAGAGATTTCTTCAATTAGTATTCACTCCTCTGTGTCAAAGGCCCCTAGCTGTAATTACCTCGCCCCTCCACAAAAGGTCCCAAATTTAGGAAGAGCTTCCTCCAATTAGTATTCACTCCTGTGTGCCAAAGGCCCCTAGCTGTAATTAACTCGCCCCTCCACAAAAGGTCCCAAATTCAATTAGTGTATACATCCCTAAATATAGTGCCTTACTTTTGTATTAATGTATTTCCCCCACTATTTATCCTGTCCAACCAGTCCTTTCTGTGTACAGCCACAAATTAAATTACTGTAGTTCCATTCTCTTCATTGTCACCTGCTAATGACCCCCCTCTGCCTCTCTCTTCCTGCTCAGGGGGTTTTAAGAGGCCAGTGCTGGTCTCTCTTGGTGTGCCATTCTGCTGGGCAACCACTGAGAGGTCCAGCTGGACTCTAGTGGCCCCCCGGCTCTGCCTGAGCCCCATTGGAGGAAGGGGGATCCCAGAAGCTACATCAGCCCTGCCTGGAACGCTGTCAGCTCTGCCTGAGACTATCGCATCAGCTTTGCGTGAGTGTATGCTCCCCTTGTGCTATCTGACTGCTTATGAACTGCCTCTTGGATTACAAATTGCTGTGAAGCCTTTAACTTTGCCCACCAGGGATGGATTACAAGTATTTTGGACTCTCTCTCCCTGCACTGCTCCCCATTGAGTGACTGTTGTCTGTTTTAATAAAGCTTTAAGTGTTTGCCATCTGCCTTGTGTGTTCTGTCCCGCTTACCCTCCGTCACACTGGTGGCAGCGGTGGGATCAGGACACTGAGGAGATGGCAGACAGTGAAAGCCAGCCGATGCGGGAACAGGCCCGGCCCAGCGAATACAGGAAGTGGACTGTGGCCTATCTGCAGGAGAGGGCCGAGCAACTGGCCCTTTCCTGGAGGGGCCTAGCCAAAGAGGATCTGATTGCAGCCATTGAGGAAGCTGATCCCCAGGACGCCCCAGCAAGGGCGGAGAGCAGGACAACCCCAGCCACCCCAGCACGCCATGACCCAGGGCCCAAGAGCCCCTGGCTGACTCGGGTGGAGGAAGAGATGGCCCTCCTGCGGTCAGGCGCCACGGCTATCCAGAGGCTAGGGCGCATGAAAGAGAGAGCCAAGGAAGCCACCATGAACTAAGCTGCCCTTCCAGCCCCAGGGCCGCGGGTTACCCCCCTCCCCGGGTCAGCCGCAAGGACTTTAAACCCTTCAACGAAGCCACCGGGGATGTGGAGGGGTTCTTTCAGGACTTTGAGCAGCAGTGCCAGCTCATGGAGGTGCCAAGCACGGATTGGATACGGCACCTCGTGGGTCTGCTAGAAGGGGGTGCAGCTGCGGCCTACCGCACTCTGGATTATGTGGATGGCCGGGATTACACCCGGGTCAAACAGACTGTGTTGGAGTATTATGCAGTGACCCCAGAAGTGCA